CCGTCACCTCCAAACTCCTACTACCAGTACTTAGTGTCCGTGTAATTCATGCTTTGAAAAAGTTCTTCCTTATAGAGACGGCAAGTTACAATTTCAGTGATTGGCAGACTGGTATAAGGCTACAATATCATAAAATTTTGCTTTCACTCTTACATTATTTAATGTAACAATGGATTACCACCATTAATCAACTAACCAAAACAAACTACTCTATGTAAACAAAATTGCCATAAAATTTGTGAGACGACGACAGAGCAAAATTAAGTCCCTCAATTTGTTCCTCATGAAGTGGAAAGAGTACTTTGTACTGCTTTATCTCCAGGAATAAATTGTAGGTAGGATCCATTTCAGCCAACATTATGCATGCAACATTGATTAATGGTGGAGATTGATTCGAGTCAAATTTGTTTATTGCTTGAAATGGACCGGAATCTTCTAGGAACTAATATATTTGCAAATATTGTTTTGTTTTGCAGGTAAATATGGGGCATTGCCGTACTGCCCATGTCGGCAGAGTTCAATTGAAGTCCAACTACTGTTGGTTTGATACAGTCATCTTTCTTATGGGGTTACCTTCTTACTCAGGTAATTCAATGTTTTCTTTTAAGATCACTTCCAGTTCTTATCTGCATGAGTAGACTTTTTTGGGTCTTACTCTGATTGTGGTCGTCAGTGACAGATTGCTGGTGGCATATGGGCTGACACAGTGGGTGGGAAGTCAGTCCTGGCATTTGGCGTAGTTTGGTGGTCTATTGCTACTGTTCTTACTCCTGTTGCTGCCAAAATTGGGTTGCCATTCCTACTTGTTCGTGCTTTCATGGGAATTGGTGAGGTTGGTACTTTGATTTTCTGGCAACCATATCTTCAGTTCTCTGTGATTATGTTTATCTCAAAAATTCCATTGTAGAACCTGTTTTCAAGAGAGGGTGGTAACTATTATTTAGTTTTTTCGAACTTTGTATTGACATCATCCCCATGGTATGTAATTGAAGGTTTGTTTTTGTTTCAGGTTGTTGCTATGCCTGCCATGATTAATATTCTGTCGAAATGGGTTCCCGTAGCCGAGAGAAGCAGATCACTAGCTCTAGTATACAGTGGGATGTATCTTGGCTCAGTTACTGGTCTGGCCTTTTCACCTTTCTTAATACAGAAGTTTGGATGGCTATAAGTCTTTATCTCCTTTGGTTCTCTGGGAACAGTCTGGTTTGCTGTATGGCTGAACAAGGTAACCATTATTCAACCATGCTAATCTTTAGTATACAATGTTACTTTTGCAGAATTTTGACTTTGCTGAAATTGTAATAGAAGTTCACATCGTGCACATAATATGTTTGATTGAAGGCAAATACTGTAGTTGTAGTCTACTTCAGTTGTTTGTTACTATACTGAGACCTTCTGCAACAAGTGTTTATTCTGTTATTATATTTTCTCTTCTTTGTTTAGGCACATGGTACACCTTTTGAAGATCCTGCACTGAGGCCTCAAGAGAAGAAGCTTATTGTTACAAAATGTGTTTCCAAGGAACCTATCAAAACAATCCCCTGGAGTTTGATCCTGTCAAAACCACCTGTCTGGGCCCTGGTTGTGTGTCTCGCTTCTGTCACAATTGGGAGACATTTATTCTTCTAACTTGGATGCCAACATACCATCATCAAATAAGACATTGTGTTCTTTTGAATGTGCAATCCATTTATTGTTGCAACTCTTTGATTGAAATAAGGGGGACTTCAAGGCTCTGACAGATTATCCTGTCCTGTGTCATTTACCTTTATACATAGGTTAAAACCCTTTTTTGGTCCCTGAACTATTGTACGGACCCCCGATTTGGTCCCTGAACTAAAAAAATCCCTGATTTGGTCCCTACTGTTTACCATTTTTACCCCAATTTGGTCCCTCCGTTAAAAATCCAATGACGTGTCCTGTTAATTAACTGAAGCATGATGATGTGTCAAAATAGAATGACACCTCATATGCACACCTGTAAACAAAATGACATGGCAGTATGATTCGGATCCAAAATAAAAAAAAAAAAGAGTGGGCCCCACCTCCTGCAAAGCTTGAACTCTTCTCCTCCTTTCTTCCCCATTCCCAGTTCTCAGATCCTCATCTTACCTAGCCTTCTTCATCAATCAATTCCTCCATCATCATGAAACAACAAGATCCACAGAAAAAAAAAAATTTTCTCTTTTTTTTTTACCTTTTGCTCTTGGGTTTGTTCGAACCCAGGAAGCCAGGCATCTTCCTGGGTTCGAACGAACCCAGGCGGCGTCCTGGATTCTTTCGAACCCAGGCGATCGGGGTCCGTTGAACCCAGGCGATCTGGGTTCGGCCTGGGTTCAACGGACCCAGATCGCTTGGGTTCGTCGAACCCAGCCCTGGGTTCAACGAACCCAGGTCGGCCGAACCCAGGTCGACCGAACCCAGATCGCCTGGGTTCGTCGAACCCAGCACCAGG